GTCAGACAGCAAGTCTTTGTTTTATCTTTCCTCTTGGAAAGAACAATAGTTTCAAATGATAGTTCAAGCCTTCTTAGTGGAAGGAAGATGCAACTTGCCAGATGCCTCTGATTAATTTGCCTGTGTTCCACCAGATATTCAACATGAGCTCATAATTTTGCTCTGCTGGTGCTGAAGTTTGCTAAATAATGTCTACATAAACAGAAAATTGCATTTCAGGAAAACGTCTGACCTCTGGATGCATGGTTGTCTTGGTGCTCAAGGCAGAGTCAGACATGAACAGAAACACCATCTGAGCTTTCTCCCCCTCCTTTGCCAGTGACATTCAGTTGCCAGCCTTGAAAATCACTGTACCCATTTGGGAACCCATTTGCATCCCTCTTATACATCACAGTCTGTGCCACCAGATGGATCAAACCCATGCTCTGTGCTCTTCTCACACGGGTCTGAGCTTTGTGGATCAGCCCTTGGTGAGCGCTGATGCAACGGGCAACCTCTGTTCAACTCTGCTTGGAAGAAGCCAGGAAGCACCATCATTCTTCCTACCAATTGATAGAGCACGTCAAAATAAAGCAGACTGGTGCCCAAACTGGCCTGACTTGAGTGAGACCTTTGATCTTTGTAGAAAGTCTAGACACATTAGGATTGTAGAAGGAAAGAACTGGTTTCCAAGTCAGGAATCTTGGATTCTAATGTTAGCTCTGCAACGCCCCTGCACCCGTGTCCTCATTCCGCCAGTAGGTGGGGTCACATAAGACAATCTCTGAGGTTCTCGCTCTAAAGTCTGCTGATGATAGCCACAATAAATTTAAATCAGAGATCAGACTGATACACTCTAGTGCTCTGACTCATCATGATTTATGAGATTTCAAAAAGGCTGAGTACCTATAATAGATGTGGGCCACATGCCCACAGAGTTTTTTGCTTCTGAGGATCGAATGTGGTCAGCAGGCACAAAGCCAAAGCACTGAACGATGTCATCATTACACAAAAGGTTCAACGCAGCTTGAGAGTGATTCCATATGCTGCCCACCTCAATCTGACATGCACACACTTGTTTTATGTGGCTTTGTCCTAAAACCAAACACAAGTCTTATTTTGTCTATAAAGTTTTCCCAAACTTTCCTAGGTCATAATTCCCACTTCAAGGGATAGAGGTTATCGTCCAAACACATAATGGAAAGCCGCAATATCCAATACAGTAGCCCTTAGACTCATGTGGCTATTTAATTTTAAAATTCATTAAAATTAAAAATTCAGTTGCTCAGTGGTCCTAGCCACATCTCCAGTGTTCAACAGCCACATTTTTCTATTGGCTTCTAAACACAGATTCTAGAACACTTTCAGCATTGCACAAAGTTCTTGTGGGCAGTACTGAATTATTCTAGAACCAATCTTAAAAAGTCAACCCTTGAATTTTATAAAAGACAAATTTCAAGAGTTGCCCAAAGCCAGTGGGGCATATAAATTCCTCCACACAAAGTAAGGAGGTACAACTATGTATACAGTTTGAGCTACCCCTGCAGAATGTTCATGTGTACCTGATGGGTACAGGAGAGCGGAGCTGGCGTGAGCAGGCTGCTGACAGTCGGTGAGGCTCACTTGCCATTTCTGTACATTTGAGCACAGTGAACTCCATAAACTCACAGACTGCTCTGGCATGGGTTTTAGGGTTTCTGGTGAATTACTGCATCTGAGTCCTCAAATTCCAAGTCTATCATTCCCCCAAATTGTATTCTCTGGTTTTTCTCAGTATTTCCTATGTTGATTGGAGGAGGCCTAAGTCTGTTTTCATGTTCTTGCTCACTGTTAAGTATTCGTCAGAGACATCCTTTTAGACAGCAAGACTGAAAAGCCTCACTAGCTTTTCAATTCAGGATGGAGGAGGAACTTTACCCACAATGTAGTTGACACATATTAATAGAAATGAATTTAGTCATAAATTCAGCCAGGAAAATTTATGGAAGTTCAACAAATGAATCATGTGAACCTAAAAACAAGTGAAGGAACAACTTGACAGATATCTTAAATACTCTCCTATCAAACAGAAGTGCTTGGAAAAGGAGTCAGACCCACGGATCCTGACATCATCCTTTTATCAGTGACCTAGGCCGCCATCTTCTTAAATGACCTAACTTCTAGAAAATTGTTTCTCTCAAAATTTTTCATAGACTGTATAGAAGATACATAAAAATATCCAAAGTTTACTTATGACTTTTCTCTAAAATTAAAACTAACTGAACATGGAAAATGAATTGTAATACTGAGCACTTTAAAAAAACTGAAAAATTTGCCTGGCTGGTGTAGCTCAGTGGATTGAGAGTGGGCCTGTGAACCAAAGGATTGCAGTTCGATTCCCAGTCAGGGCACATGCCTGGGTTGCAGGCCAATTCCCAGCAGAGGACACATGAGAGGCAACCACACATTCATATTTCTCTCCCTCTCTCCTTCCATTTCCCTCTAAAGATAAAGAAATAAAATCTTCAAAAAATGGAAAATTTGAAATCTCTGAACTGATGATGTCCCTTGAGTTTAGCTACTTATTCCAGAGGTAAGAGAGATATTTTGCAAGAAAAGTTGAGGCCCAAACTTCACACATGAGATGCAATCAGTCAATAAAAAAGAGTGGTTCCCACATTTTAATGAATTTTCAGTTTAGAATGACAAGGCCCTATAAAAGCATATAGGGAACATTAGGGCATGAATAATCTAGTTTGGTCTCCTTAGGACTTTATCATTAAGGAATCAATTAGCTCGTCTTCACCATGACCTCAACACAGACTTGTACTCATTTGGCTTGTTTTCAGTGGTGATGGGAAGCACTGCTGACCCTCATTCAAGAGCTATAATGCCTTTCCTCTCCCATGTCTCACTCACTACAGACAGCAGGTCTGGCCCAGAAACTGGCTGTGTATAACTGCTGGGTTTTTGTGGCATTTTTTTTTTGCCTAGTTATAATAGAGTTACTAAAGAATTACAAAGAACCATATTTATTTTGAATTGTTCAGCCACCTAATACCAGGAGAATGGTGTTTGGCTTCAATATGGACATAAATCTTTGGAACAAAATAACTGAACATAATCTTTGTTCCAGAGGAGAAATCTGATGGAGTATGTAGGAAAAAGGTCAGAGAAGGTAAAGCGCTATTAAATTCTCTCACACTTCTCCTAGATATTACAAGCTCATTTCCATTTGAAAGATTCGGGAGGGGTAATTAAAATACTGTGCTATGTATCAATATATAGTAATATAATATATAATGCTTAATATTGCTGTATGCTCATGTATCTCTGATATATCAGAAGAGAACCCTGGATGATGTTAAATTTTTGAAAAACAAGCATAATTTTATAACATTTATGATTTCTAAACTGCCACCATCAAAAATAAATCATTATTAAAGGTTAGCAATAAGGCCTTTCTAAACCAACTAATAATAAAAAATCTTGTTTAAAAACATTCTTCTGAACTACAAGATGTCTTCCAACCACAGAATATTTTAAGTAATAATCTAGCATGACTTTTTTCCTTAACAAATATTTATTGATCATTCACTGTGTCAAGTACTATCAACAAATTGATGAATTAAACCTCCCTTTATATCTGTTGTTGAAATTAATAATTTATTTGTCTAAGGTGGGTGTTTTATCTTGATTTATATTATTTGTGTCAGTGAATAAATTAAAATTTGTTTTAATTTCACAAATCTTTCATTTTACATGAGAGATCTAGTCTCAGCCAAGACATTATCGAGTCGAAATATCTGATTTCAAATAATAAATAACTCTCGTTCTAAAGTAAGATGGAAGGAGACCCTGACTCATGATGTTTCTAGTTAATCTTTCCTGGTTGGGAAATTCAAACTTCAGCCATAAAAGAAATGTACACACATGTGCACACAGGCACAGAACACACACACCAGAATGCTGTGTCTAATATTTACATGTTCTTCTAAAAATCCTTATTTTAAAAAATCATTCTAGCTTTCAATTGTTCCCTTTGCCGGAAATGCCCTTTCCACTTTGTTTACACTCCTTTTTCTCCCCTGGGTCTCAGCTAAAATTCGCCTCCTCAGTCAGACCTCCATGACAACCTCAATTCTGGTGCCTCTTGGCCCTTCTCTCTCCCTGATCCCAGACACCATCCACTATACAGTGGTTTCCACCATATCATGTGTCCCAATTAATAATTATACAATGTTTACTTGTTTCCATGTCTACTATCTGTCCCTGAGAAAGACTCTGGGACAGAGTCTATTTACTCACTGATACATACTTAGCACCCAACAGTGGCTGGAAGAAGGTGGAATCACGCTCAATTTGAACTACGGAATGAATGAATGAATGTCATCCTCTCCTGAGCCTCTGGCTTATTCCTTTTTCACAGCAGACTAAATGCTAGAAAGTGGTTTTGCTACACATCTTCATAATTCATTGTGATTTCTGTATACTTATAAATCCACTCTTATAAAAAGAGAGAACAGTAGACATTCTAAAACTAATTCTTCGCTCCCTTAGGGTTTTCAAGAAAATGGAAATGACTTTCATAAACTCACTTCTTCAGTTGTACATATTATACATCAAAGTCGAAGTAAAGCACAATTCCTGCTTTAAAGAAAAGTTCTCCCTAAAGGGAGACCATTTTGCAAAGCAAAGCCAGTTTACAAGTCCCTCCCAGGGGTGTCCGAACTTTTGGCATCTCTGGGCCACACTGGAGGAAGAAGAGTTGTCTTGGGCCACACATTAAATACATTGTAACATGTAATCACACACACACAAAAATCTCATAATGTTTTAAGTAAATTTACAATTTTGTATTGGGCTGAATTCATAACCACCCTGGGATGCATGCAGCCCGCAGGCCATAGGATGGACACCCCTGGTCCCCAAATCTGAAAGGGTTAATATGCTCCTTACCACTGAGGAGACTTAATAAATAGCACTCAGGTGTTTCATAATATTAAGGCCATCCGAGTCAAAAGAGTGTGGGAATTTCTTACCTGGAGTCCTTTCTGACTCTTGCTTTCTCAAAGGAAAATTCAGGGGGTTTGTTGAGGTCATAGGTCCGGGTGGTTGGCTCAGCAGACACCCCAGCCTTTGCCCCTCTCCTGCTATGGAGAGAGACCAATCCCGAGGCTTTCCGGTGGACCTCCAGAGGCACTTTGTCTGGAGAGGCCTGCAGCAGGCTTCCTCCCTGGATGTGCACCACATCCTGAAGCTTGTTCAGCTGGATGCACTTGTTCTGGAGCTCCTCCGTGAGCTCGGCAATGGCCACAGTCTGCTTTGAGATCTGCTCCCGAAGTTCCTTCAGATGGTACTCCCGCTCCTGGATCTCAGCATCCTTCCTCCTCAGCTCTCTCTCCAACTCCATCACCTTGTTCCGCAGGGCATCAGCAGTGAGGGGCCCATACTGGCCATCGGGATGCTTGTGGTGTTTGGGTTTCACTGAACCATTTCCCATTTTGCTCAAGGACCTGAGAGAGGTCACATAAGCGAGAATTACCCAGAGAAGTTTGACATCCCAACAGCCCCCACCAGTCCTCTCATTCCCATCTGCTTCATTAGTAGACACGAAGCTGTCCTCATTGTTTGGTAAGCACTAAGTCCCCCATGCTTCCAAGGGGAAAGCTATCAATCCATTTGCTTTATCCATCCATGGGGAGGAGGAGCTAGCATCAGGCTTCATTGTACCTGTCCCCGGGCTGGCACAAGTGTAACTTCTGAGCCTTTTACACAAACAGCCTGTGTTACCTACTGTTCTCTTTGGTCACTCTCTCCAGACAGCTGTCCAAAGCATCCCGACAGAGCTGCGATTTGGATGTCAGCATGGCAAAGATAAAACACAATGAGCAGCAAAGCTGCAGGGCTTTACAAAGTGACAACTCTCTCAGCTCCCAGGGGGCTACACTAAGAAGTCCTCCTGCGTTGGGAAAGTAACACATCTGCATTCTGTGGGAGTAGGAGGCAGAGTTGGTGTTGGTTGCTTTATTAGTACTTTTCTCTGGCTGTGTGCACCTGCTAAATTTTGGCATTTCTGATAAGGTTCCTTGGTTAAAAAAAATCAAATCCAATTTGTGTTTACTAAAATGTAGAACAGAGATATAGACATTTTCTACATCTTTTACTTTATATCCTAAAGTCAAGGTTGCCCCAAAATGATGACCTAGGGTGCAAGACAAGGGTCTAATTTTTTCCTGTTAAGAATGTGCTCAGCCCTGGCTGGTGTAGCTCAGTGGACTGAGCGCGGGCCTGGGAACCAAGCAACCACGGTTCGATTCCCAGTCAGGGCACATGCCTGGGTTGCAGGCCAGTTCCCATCAGGGGACTCACAAGGGGCAACCATACATTGATATTTCTCTCCCTCTCTCCTTCCCTTCCCCTCTAAAGATAAATAAATAAAAATCTTAAAAAAAAAAAAAAAAAAGAATGTGCTCAGTGTAGCTCCCAGAGTGGTCACTCGTACAGTGAGTCTTGGGAAGTGAAAAGCATATCAGAATTATGAGGAATTGTTTTAGTTGATTCAGAAATACTTTTTAGTTCAATAGGTATATATTTATTTTAACATTCATTAGGAATATAGATAATGGACACCACAAAGTTGTGGTTTCATTGATATCATTGCTTAACTGGAGGTAAAATTAGGTAATTAGGTTTAGAGTCAATTCCATAAAAATACAAAATAAATCATCTGTAGGTAATAAGCACATGTCAGTAAAATAAAAAAGTTTGGAAAGTACTGTTTTGATTAATTATGATAAGTTCCAGTATGTTTAGGCTACCCATTTAAACTTCATACATTTGCATGTACATTTTTGACCATCACAGCCCAAGAAGCATTGTAACACTTATCAACTTAGTTTGAATTACCTCTCATTATATAACCCACACCTTCTTGCCCCTTTCTCCCTCCAAATTTCAAACTCAGAGAGAAATGAAATTTTTAGACTGATTTCACTATCTCTACCAGAATAATTGTGACCTTGACAAAAACAAAGACAGAGACATAAAGATGTAAAACAGCCTGTAAGTTTCAAACAGATGGATCCAAATAGCCAGTGCAGGTTGCCCAAGATGGATAATACACACAGAAAGGAAATGTACTTATAAAAGTAATCTTAAAATATTCAGATGTTCTTTATAGAAGTCGGAGTCAAAGCAGTCATTAATAAAAATTAGTTTCCAGAGAATTGCCTTTATATATTGCACAGATGTGGCAGGTTTCACCTTTAAGTATCTGTTGACTTGGCAACATTTACTGTTCTTAGGTATTAAGCATATATGAAAAGGTTGAAGAGACTAGAACTCAAAGAGGAGACTAGAACTCAAAGAAGTAGTCCTGCACACTCTTGTATCCCAAATAAGCAATTCACGAGACATTAGATTGGGACCTAAGAATAACCTTGAATGAGATTCTGAATGACAGGCATGAGAAGGGTACCCACCAAAGGCCTCTGAAATTAGAGTGTGCACAAGATTTTAACATGAGCTGTGAGCTGTCTTCTAGACACACATTTTTGGTTCATGGGCAAGCATTTCTAAACCAAGGCAGGATGGAAGGAGAGGAGTTGGGGGAAAAGGAATTGCCCTATAAAGAACAAAACTAAACACAAAAACCTTAAATCTAATGTAAAATGAATAACTCATTGTTATTCATTGAACAACTGTTCACTAAGGCCTGTCATGTACTGTATCAGGGGCATAGCTCCACAAATTAGCAGTCAGATTTGACACTGAAAACAGTTGCAGAATTCTAAATATGAAAAGGCTTATAACAATATTTGCTCTATGTAGAGCATTTAAAACATTATATACCAAGCCAATAATTTCACAAACCTGAAGCACAATTAAGTAGAAGATGCTAAATTTTCCCAAAACACCAACTGTTCTCTGGTTTTAATGAAGTCAGTTTGAAAGCTGTATAAATCTTTCAAGTTATTTAGAATTCCAAAGAGGGGTGAAATGAGAGTAACTCATCTTTCAAGTCACTAGTTTAAGCTATATAAGTTACCAAAAGGCTCAGTACTAAGGCTGATTTCTTAGTGAGTTCACCCATTTCAGTTTTGTTGTCCTTCAAGACTTCAAGTGTCTGGCTTCATAAACCCTAATTGGATTCACTCTGTTTCCTGTATCAGTCACTAAGACAGATAAGCTATTTCTCAAATATGTATTGCTAGTCCCAAGAACAAATGAACCACAGGATGTTGCTCCATCAATCTAGCAACTACAGGTCATTAGAATCACTCTTATAATCAGATGGCAACCTATAAAGTAATAAGAAATGAGCTTGGAGATAAACAGCAGGACTTAACATGAACAATGAAGGGTAGCCATTCAGGGTAGAAAAACAATCAGCCCTTCCCCAGTTGTGTAATCCTCTCTGAATTACTTAGAATTCTCGGTTTTCTCATCTAGGAAATGGATCCTAATGAAAATTCTATCCATCTCATATGGATTATTATGAAGAATATGGTAGTAAGGCACCACTAGCAATACCTGACATGGAGCGGGCACCATGTAGCTTTTCTACTACATGAAGAGACAAAGCACTTAGTGTCTTGGTGCGAGGAAATGCCCAGAGGGGATAATTGCTGGGGGAGACAATGGTCTAGTAAACTGGGGGTCTTGATGCAAATTATTCTCCTGGAAGAGGGAGATCTTACTCATTAAAAAGAAGACATTAGGATAGGATCTATATTTTCATTTCAAATAAAATTCTCTTTCTAAAACAAAGGAGGAGGAAGGGAAAGGGAAAGAATAGAAGGAGAAGGAATCATTCTGGAACAAACAGCCTGGGAACCCTTCTCTGTTAAGGAAAGCCCGCCAAAAGATGGAGATGAGAAAGCTTCATGAATGACCCAACCCAGGTTCCAGGACTGCCTTCATGTGGCCTCTGTCTATTTACATGTACTGCGGCAAACTCCTTATTCCAAAAGGACCTGCCTAATATCTTTGAAAGCAACAACAGCAACAAAAACAATGGTTCATTGAGAAAGCAGTATTCTGCAGCCAGGGATAGGAGAGAACAGAATGAGAGGAGGCATTTAGCAAGAAGAGAGGAAAAGTATGTAAAATTATCAATTATTATTATATTAATTTAATCATTATTTAGGAAATGCCATAGATAAGAGGTAACTAGAAAAGACCCAGGAAAAGCAAAACTTACTGTGAAGGCACTTGCAGGCAGATGAACACCTGGCAGCCAGTGTGGGAGGAATTAGGATTTGTTGTCTGTTTTTCCTCCAGCCCTAAAGTAGTTGGAAACCAAGTCTTGGCTCTGATCTAGAAAATATCTGTTTCTCTCTTTCCCCATCTGGAGTCTGATATAAAAATACACACACATATTTATACATGTCTGTATATCTGTAAATATGGGATATGGTACCATGATGGCTAAGGATACAGAGCCAGAGCCCAACCCAATTACTGGCATGTAGTATTTATGTGCACTTGGCCACGAGTTTAGGGTTGAAGGTCAATAATAAAAGAGAGAGATAGACACATAGATAGATCAACAGGCAGATAGATAAAATATTGTTGCATATTATTTAGAGCTGTTAGATGGTTAAATGAGATACACCATAAGCAGCATAGAGGAGAGTGCCTGATATATAGTGTGTGTTTAATAAATATCCAACTTACTGTTTTATTGCCGTAATATTATTTACCCAATGAAATAACTCATTTTAGTAGAAAACTAACATTATCCTCTTAGCAGAAAAACATATTGCTCATAATATATGTACTAAACCAACACAATATTGTAGGAGAACAAAGTCAGAGTTCTGATACTACTGTACATTAAGACTTATTGTAAGGCTGTGATAATCAAGACGGTGTGGTTCTGGTGAAAGAGCAAACAAATAGATCAACGGTACAGAATAGACAGCCCAAAAATGGACCCCTACAATATAGTCAACTGACCTTTGACAAAGGTACAAAGGCAAGCCAATGGAGAAAGGATAGCTCTTTTAACAAATTGTATAGAAACAACTGGACGCCCATATGCAAAAAAAAAAAAAAAAAGAATCTACACACAGACTTTATATCTTTCACAAAATTAGCTCAAAATGGGTCAAAGACCTAACTGTAAACCATGAAACTATAAAACTGCTGGTAGGCAATATAAGAGAAAACCTAAGTGATCTTGGGTTTGGTGATGTTTTTAGATAAAACACCAAAAGCACAATCCATGAAAAAACTGGTAAGTTGGACTTCATTAAAATTAAAAATGTCTATTCTGCAAAAGAGACTATTAAGAGAATAAAACAACAGCCACAGACTGAAAGTATTTGCAAAGCACACATCAAATAAAGGACTGGGATCCAACATAGACAAAGAACTCAGTACTCGGTACTCAGTACTCAGTACTCAGGTGGATACATGTCTTTATGCATTTGTACTAACCCATAGGAAAAAAATAACCAACTGAAACATGGGCAGAGATATAAACAGATGCCTCATCACAGAAGATACACACATGATAAATAAGGATATGAAAAGATATTTAACACTGTATATAATTAGATAATCTCAAATTAAAACAACAATGAGATACTACTACACACCTATTACAAAAGCCAAAACACTGACAACACCCTAATGCTGGAGAGGATGTGGAGCAGCAGGAATTCTCACTCGTGGCCACTGGGACTGTGAAATGATACAGCCACTTGAGAAGACAGTTTGGCAGTTTCTTGCAAAGCTAAGTAATCATACAATCCAGCAATCATGTTCCCTGGCATTTAACCAACTGATATGAAAACATATATTCACACTAAAACCTGCACGTGGATGTTTATATCAGCTTTATTTTATAGTTGCCAAAACTTGGAAGCAACCAAGATGTCCTCCAAAAGGATGTATGGATAGACTGGTACATCCAGACAATTAAATATTATTCAATATTCAGTGATGCAAAGTAATAACTAATAAGCCATAAAAAAACATGGAAGAACTTTAAGTGCATATTACTGAGAGATGCCAATATGCAAAACTCACATACTACACGATTCCAAGTACATGACATTCTGCAAATGACAAAACTTGGAGACAGTAAGAAGATCAGTGGTTGCCAGAGGCTTGGGGAGAGGGAGGAAAGAATAAACCGGTGGATCACAAGGCAATTTTCAGGCAATGAAACTATTCTGTATGATACTGTAATGGTGGATACTTATGTGCATACATTTGTCCAAACCCATAGAATGTAAAATACAAAGAATGAATCCTATTATAAAATATGTACTTAAAATTAATAATGTGTCAATATTGCTTCATCAATTGTAATAAATAGACCACACTAATTCAAGGTGTTAAGAATAAAGGTGTCATTAGGTGAATATATGGAAACTCTCTGTACTTTTCACCTAAAACTGCTCTAAAAAGTAAAGTCTATCATTTTTTTTAATGTATGTACTAAGGAGTGAATGCCAGAAAGCTGATAGCATAGTCAGGGAATAGGCTGAAATGCATGATGGGTAGAGAGAGATGAAAAATGAAGCTGAAACAGTAAGACACTGAGGGAGATACTGAAAAACTTCATCATATGCCACGTTATAGTATCTGGATTTTAGTGTAGGACAAGTTTCTTTCAAGTGATATGGTCAGATTTGTTCTTTAAAAATAACTTTCTTGGCAATAAATATGGAATGGAGTGAAACGAGATTGGGAGAAGAAAGACAAAGTAAAAGCCTATTGCACCCATCCACGTAGGGAGGTGGTGAGGACCAGATCACAGCCAGACAAAGTTCCACCCTTTTTCTAATTTCTTAAACTTCTTGAATTCAAGAAGAAAATTAATAACCTCCACAGTAGCCAGAAGGGAAAAGACATTATCATAAGAAGTTTTGTAAAAGGCTATGACTATAGATAACTGCAATTCTCCTCCCTTCAATAAATTATGAAAAGTATAATAGATATTTTTTTCATGATATGGTCAGTTTAGCCTAGAACCAGAGGAGTTCTATACAGGCTTTTATAGATAGTCTCCAAACAACATATAAAACACGTATATGGTATTATTCTGAACTTTGATTCACCAAAGTTTTTAAGAAAATAATTAGCTATCACTAAGTTTTCCTTGTGTGAAATAGTGCAATTTTATATCATTACCACCATTAAAAGCACCTGTCCATCTCGTCGTCTGACTGGTGACCTGGTGACCCAGTTTGAATCTACTGTTTGTTCTCTCTGTCCAGAGCATCTTAATCTGGAGAGTAATTTGCTCTTGTCTGGCAGCCATATAAGCTTCGAATTTGTACCAGTTTCAGCTGCTCCAGAGTTTGGCTGTGTCTCTGAAGCACCCCTTCCCTAGCACAATGTTCACAGTGAACTTCAGAATAGCCATATACCCTGTATTTTCACTGATAGATTGCAGGCATTCCATTCAGCTATTGTACTTTTGGGTGATACAGTATTAGATAAACAGGCAAACATAGAGAAATATAATTCATAGGTGGAGGTCAGAAGACTGTAGCTTATAGAATTTGAGTGGTAATAAGAAGAAATAAGGAGGATTGGAAGTTTCTGTTGGGGCAACTGGATAAGAGTTGATGTCACTAACCAAAATGAGGAACAGGTTTTAAGGAATAATAGGGTGAATTTAATTTTGGACACACTCAGTTTGAGGGACCTGTGGAAATTTTAGGGTCAAGGAATTCAGTAGGCAATGAGAAATGAAGGACTAGAAAATGAGAAGAGAGAAACTGAAAATATTTTGTAAGCACTGATACAGAAGTAGAGATCAAAGAAGTAGATGAAAGTGCCCAGGAGATTGGCAATAAGTAGAGGAAGAATGTCTAGGACTACGTGAAGCTTGAAAGAAAAACTAGAGGTAGGGTAAGAAGCTACTGCTTTTGTGAAGGAGGATCTGGAGGAATTAACAGTAAAAGATGAAAATGGTGGAAGGAGTACAAAATCTCTAAATGTAGTAATTACATACGGAGGCAAAAGTGATTCCAATGTCTTGATCTAGGAAAGCTTGGAGGAAGGTAGTACTATGAACTTATTCATTCACTCAAAAATGAAGAGAGTACAATATATTGGCTATGCACTATGACATGGACCAAGGTCCTGGGAATGAGCATGCTTTATGGAGACAGTAATGAGTTTTCATATGTTAAATTTGAGCTGCCTGTGGGTCATCAAGGTGATAATGTCTAGTAGATAGTAACAAAGAAGAAAGGTCAAGGCAAGAGACTTCTTCATAGAGGTAAGAATCTAAGTTCCTTTCATAGATGAGACCACTAAGGGAGAAAAGAAAGGAATGCCTCTGTTATGCACATTTAGACACTACTGGTAGGTATTATCTATAGGTGAAAAGGACAAGATGGAGAAGAAAATGATAAACATGCAGAAAGTATAGTTGTACAATTAAGATATCTAGGAAGAAATATTATGGAAGCCATGAGCATAAGAAGTTGAAAAGGTGAGTAGGTTGCAGCCCACATCCCACCGACATACGGAAGGGAATGAGATCCGAGGGGAAAGGCACTGAATTTTTCTTTTCGTGAATGAGTTAAGATAGAACAGATTACAAAGGACAGGGGAAGAGCCAAAGCTCAGAGTAGGGACGCCAAGATGGTATCATGGTTTATAAAATGGATTTTTTGAACAGTGGAAACTTGAGAGCTATTTGTAAGGCCAGAATAATGAACCAGTAAAGACAGAGAAAATACAAACATAGGAAAAGAGGGGATAGCTAATAGGAAAATGTCCTATGGTGGCAATTTTCAACCTTTTTTTTCTCCTATGGCACACATAAGCTAACTACTAAAATTCTGCAGCACACCAAAAAATGTGTTATGTATTTTACCAATCTGATGAAAAAAATAAAAATATAATTTTGATTCTTTCATACCAGACAGCTATTATTGTGTTGGTTGTTGTCATTTTTTATTTGACAATCTAAGGGAAAAAAGGTCAGTGCCCCTGGCTAAAAAGCCAGGTATTGCATGTTTTAAAAATCCTTGAGGCACACTGGTTGAAAATCACTGGGGCACAGTAAGACAATAGGGGGTCAAAAGACTTGGGCAACAAACGCCTTCACTCCTGGGTGAATTAGCCTCACTCGTAAGTATTTCACATTTATGTGAAATGAAATATTGCACATAAAAGAAAAAGCTATCTCTGTGCTGTCTTTTTATGTCTTTTATTCTTAGATGCACAATGTTCCATCGGAGAGGATGGATCCCAACTCTCCAAAGAGAATTTTCTATGATATTAACTCCTCCTGTATAAAACTGAGCAGGGGTATTGGCAACAGATACTGTTCATTTGTGAGATGGTCAGTTTGCAGAGAAGAAACTTGCAAAAAAAGGACAATAATTTCAAAGGAACTTTGTGGGGGGGAGCAGGTGTATGTTGCCCTGTTCCTTTATTAAAAAAACAATTTCTGGAAACTTCGTAGACAAGATGCAAATCAGGAAACCAAGGCATTTGTCGGGCCTTTCTACCTGTTCATTCTGCCTGCGCTGTTTCTGTCTAGTCTCAGCTCTGGACTCAACTGCTGTGGATTTGCGTCTCTAGCTTTTCTCAAACTCGAAACCACGGCTTTTTCTCTCATCTCCCAAGTGGCTGATTTATTGTTTTTATGTGTTTGCTCTTGTTTCTTCATCACCAGAAAATATAAAGCAAGAAATGTGAAAGCGCCTCAGGGCGCTGGGAGTGCGACAGGACACCCACACAAGTTTACAAGGACTCCTGAAGTCCTTGCCCGCGTACTGCCTTCCAGCAGCTACCCAGGGCGCAGACAAGTGGAGCCAAGAGCGCTAGCCCTGAGAGCAGCACCAAGCTCCCAGCCCAGGGCAAGTCTCCAGGGCTGCTCCCCGGCTAAAGGCGTGAGAACCCCGAGGAATGCCCACTGGCGCTGAGCTCTCCCCTTCCTCCCCTAGCCGAGTTGATTAAAATCAGCTAGCCTTTCCCTGCCTCCGGGAGCTCATGAAAGAGAGCCACACCAAGTGAAAAAACGTGTGCACACGACCACATACCAACAGCACTGGCAAGAGACCTGCTGGGCAGAGAAGGGAGGCTTGCAGCCCGCATACACGGGCGTACCCCTACTCCGTCCCTCCCGACGCACCCCCTCGCCCAAGCCCACAGCTCATGAACCTCACCAGACAGCCGTGTAACTTTCCAGGTGCGCAGCTTGTCACTCTGGCCCGGCTGCCCCTGCGTCTCTGCGTCCTCTCCCACGCGGCACCCTCGGCAGCCTCCAGCGCCCACAAGGAGCGCAGGTCAGCTCAGACCGCCCTGGCCCTGCACAGGGGCGCAACGAGCGGCCCCCAGGCTGTCGGCACTGCAGCTCCGGCTACGTGGGAGCTGGGGGAGCGTGGACCAATGTGCTGCGGGCTGGAGATGCAGCGGTGGCGGCGTCGGTGCTACCTCCTGGCTCCTCCGCGGGGGCCGGTGCAGAGAAGAGGAGCAAGGAGGGAGGGGAGGGGAAAAGGGAGGAGAGGAGGAAAAGGAGGGGGCGGGGGTCAGCCCGGTCTTTGGCGTGGAAGAACAGGGAGCTCCCTAAAAGTAGGGTCACCCGCGTGCGCACCCACACCAGCGTGGATCCCTACTCCTGAGACCAGCCGGCCGTAATAGCCGCAATCTGCACTTTATACCCTATACCTTCAGGAGTGAGGCAACTGAAGTAGGAAGATAACATCGTGGTTGTAAACATTTTTTCCCATGTTATTATTTCTATTTCAAGCATGTGAGACGAGGGGAGAGGAAAGTTCAGGGAGGTGTTCCTATTTTCCATCCCCTCCTTTCCCTCCGCCCCTCCAGTCTGTTTTCACTGCAGGCTCCCTCCCACCTCGCCTACCCTCCCGGAGCGCAAACAGGCGCACGAATCTGCACGTGTCCTCCTCTGTCACACCGCTGCCCTTCCGGAAGATAATGCGATCCCAGAGCTGCTTGGAGACGTACTCTTCTCGGACTCTGAAGCCATAACTTGCATCCAGCTTCCCAGTTCACGTGATGAGGAGCAGTGCTTGGAACCGAGTTTCAAAGGAAAGATATTTTATCTTCCTTCCGGATCTGAAGGTCTTTTGGCAGAGCACTTTCTTGATCACCCGAGCTCTCTCCCCGTCGCCTTTTGATTACATGTTTTTTTCCTGAGGTTTGCACTATGGTTTTCTAAATATATGTATACTCCACTGCATTATTTGCTGTGCTCTGGAGTTTGTGAGATCTTCGTGTGCCTTTCCCCCTTTCCTCCTGCCCGCCCGGCCAAGGAATTTCACTGGCAAATCGAGGACAAGGGCAGTTCCGTGTTGAGGAATGGGAAGTACAGTGAGGGTCTGTTCTTCACTGTGTTTCTGGAGAATACTAGACCCCAACTCTCCTGGGCTTTAAGCCACGTGGTGTCAGTGGGGCTCATGTAACACTGGTCCTCGACAGTATGTACTAAACACATAGAAAAGAGGCCCACGTAAATATATGGAATGGAGGTCAAATGTAGTCGTGTGTGTGTGCGCGCGCGCACGCGCGTGCTCGTGCACTAGCTGGAAAAAAAAACAAAAATATAAAGTACTTTTTCATGAATATGTGCCATTTTATTTAGGCCTTCAAAATAGCCCAACTAGAGGAGATGAGGATAGGGAACAATTCCACAGGAAAAAAGAAAATAATTAAGCCATTGTTGAGTCATTCTAACGATGGACTTTAAAGTTAATGGGCTGAAAGTTTATATGTGGTCTAACAGCAAAGAAGATAAAATCAAAGATTTTCAAAATTCATATAGATCTTTTAGTCCAGTATCTTTGGGGAGGGGGTGTTAGGAGAAACTGTGGGTTTCTAATTAATGGGTCCAAAAATTGATATGTTAGGTCAAAACTTGCATATTTGGAATGAAATAAAATAAAAATACCACAGTATATTACACATAGCAAGAGTGTGCTCTGCAGACCTTTCATTTCAGTTAAATATGTGGGTACTGGGTCAACCAGCATGTATGTATGTATTTTCTTACTGCTCCTGGAGGTAAAAACTTGAAAGCCAAAATTGATGCAGTGCTGCCCAGGGCCACCCAACCAGTTGGAGTGTGAGGGGAGCACAGGTTCTTCCCCAAGTATCCTGTGTTCTGTGGGCAATCCCACAATGAACTGCAGAGAACAGGGAGGAAGTCCAGGAGGAGAAAAGCGACCACTTTAGAGCTCATTATTCATTCTTTCAACAAGTGTGTGTGAGTGGCTCCTAGAAGCTCCTAGGCCTCAGGCCTGGTATTAAAGTCTGGAAATTCAATGGGGAACAAAATCAACGTGTGATCTCACCAGTTTAGAATCTACAAACCTGTGGGGGACAGGGACTTCAAGCAAATAAACACAAAAACCCTCTGTGATCAATGCTATGAAGGAAAATATGAGAGCAAAAAATATAGGATTATAATTTAGATGTGGGAGGCAGCAATTAATAATTAACCCAATTTAAATTGCCTTAAACAGTAAGGAAATTTAGTTTTATATGGCTAGAAGTTCCTAGAAGTTCGAAGGTCAAGAGGCTCTAACTGGTGAATTCAGCAGCTCACTGATACCAGGGAGCACCCAGACTGTTTCTGCTATTCCCCCTCCCATCTCCAGCAGGCTGCTCTGTACCTGGGTCTGCCCCACCCAAGTTCCCCAGGTAGCTGGAACAGCCCCCATCCTGACAGCCAATCCTGACAGTGCCCAAAGGTGGCGCAGTGTGTTTCTTTTCAAGAGTGGGAAGATCTTTCTCAGAAGCTCCCAGGAGGTGTCTTCTCACCTGTGTTGAGTCCAAACCAAGTCACATGCCCATGCCTAAATGCTGGAAATGGAGGTGGGTGTACCATAACTGCTCAAAGGTCTTCCACACTCACCCTAGAACTCTTCAGGATTGTGTTCTTTCAGGGGCTGACACCCAAACAAAACAGAGAAGGTGGGAATGGAAGGCGGGAATAGACAATTCAGAGTCTGCTTCAGAGGAGGCCCAGGGATGATTTCTCTGAAAAATGACATTTAAATTTAAGATGAGTAAGAGTCAGCAAGGAGTGAGGAAGAAGCACCTCCAGACAGAAGGAACACTGTGTGTGTGGGAGCTGTTAGAGGCATACATGCAATTCCTCATTTACTATGCTTACCTGAAGCAAGCTCAAAGAATTAAATAACTTGATCAAGTTCACAGAGCTAATAAGTCACAGAGCCAATCTATATAGTTCCAGAGCCTAAAATTTTGACCACTTTTGTTTCTATGGAGACAGTAGAAAGCCCAAACCCACTGGCCTTTCCTGGCCATTGACTGAAGAACACTGGCCTCTTCCAGGCCCCCTCAGCAAAATTGCTCTGGGCTCACTGGTAGTGTGGGACCTGTGCTCACGAACAAACACCCACTGCTGTGCCTCAGCTCCACTGGGTGCCACAGTCTCTGCCGAGCACTAGGGTTCTCATGATATCTGAACTTGGACATAGCCTGTGGGAAAGTGGAGAGTAAAATGCCCCTCTTGTGCTGCACAGAGCAGTTCCTGACCAGCCTCAGTGTTGTATAGATATCACTCATTTTCTCCTACTTTCCCTTTCCTACCTGGACCTGCATCCAAAAGACTGAGCTGACAATAGGTTATGTTTTGCTTCCCTGCTGAATTCAGACTCCCAAGCCCCCTTGCAGGACTAAATTCTAATTCATGTTCATCCAGCCTGAATTCTGTTTCCTTGAGATGCATTCAAGAAATGCATGCATTTCACAGAAGGCTCTATAGCTTCCTTGCACCCAAATTTTTGTCGGGCTACCTCATCAGACCAGGCTTTGTGCTCACATTTGAACCCCCAATCAGAGAACCCCAAGGAAAAAGATGAGCTCTCTTCCATATGTCAGCAGAAGATTTTCTGAGAACATGAAAGGACAAAACTGCACATCTGATGGTTCTCACTCCAGTTGCTCACTGTTTCTTTGGTTTTGCTGCCTTTCCTCCTTTCTTCTTCTGATGAGCTTATCTCACCACCCTGACCCCCTGGGCAGCCATTTCAATTACTAAGGCTAGAACCTTGGGTCACTGTGCCCTACTTTCCTGTACATTAGTTTTGCATAACCCTAACTAACCTGGGATAAACACCAGCATTTGTCTTTGGAGTTCCTGCCCTCCAGATGCCAGCATCATTCAACATGGCTATAGAACTTGGCCCATCGATTCCACCACAATATTTCTGCTATGTAACCTCTCTACAGCCCATAACCCCTTTATTCACCTCAAAACCATTTATTTCTTTCATGAAGTCTCACTGATTCTGCAAGACAGTGGTTCCCCTCGATCCCACAACAGTGTGCCACTCCAAGTCACAAATACCTGTTAACTTTTACATCCCCCTTATTGCACTATAGAGCAGGGACTTTGTTGTATCGATTATTATGTCTTCAGAAAATGCATAGTTCAACTCTTTTCAAAAAGGAAACAGTCAAAAATAAATCCACTCTTCAATCTACTGTCCTATTTTAAAACAAAACAAAACAAAAATGCTATTTACCAAAATAATAGAGGCTTGAGAGAGAACTCCATACTCAGTGTCTCTCCTTCCTCTATGGGAGCTCATTGCTAACATCATGCAATCTTTCAGGCCTAGCTCTGAGACCATTGTTTTCCATTCTATTCCTATCTCTATAAGGGAACAATGGCCTCTCATTTCTCAAATGCCTCTCAGCTGATTCCTGGTGGGGAGGAGGATGAGGCCCATGGGCATCAACTAATGGCATATTTGGGCAATTTTCTTAGCCCCTCCAGGTAGCATCCAGAGCCTACATGCATTTCCATTTTGAAGTGACCAGTCTCTTGCCCATGCTCTTCTTGAATGTCCTCCCTTCTCTACTCCTACTCGCACTCATTCTAAATTTTCTCAGGATTTCCTCCCTCCCTTCCTTTTTCCTTCCTTCTTTCCTTCCTTCCCTCCTTCCTCCTTCCTTCCCTCCTTTCCTCCCTCCTGCTTTTTCTTTCTCTTTCCTCTAGCTTCAATCATTACTTCTAAGTATACGCCTTCAAAACTTCCACAAAACTACACTTTATCTCAGTCCTTTTATGGTATTTATTGCTTTCTATTTTGTATTATGGTTATCTATCAACATTTTTTTATCATCCTTGCTTGACTGTAAACACTTGGAGGGCATGGTTCACAGCACCTACTACAAGTCCAAATCCTAGGGATAGAGAGAATCATGACTTTACTGATGAGAAGAATTGTACTTATGTTTCTGAATTTCTAAAG